AATGTTTTCCCCTGTTCTCACACGAACCCTGCAGACTGTAAAAGCCTCACAACAAGAAATGAGGCACTGAAATGGGAGCTGGGCCAGCTGCAGGTCCCACATGGGGGGATTCTCCCTCTTTTCCCATTAGGAACAACCCTGTGGGTTGAAGAAGTGGAGTTGGAATCTTTCTGGGACTGATGGGATTTGACCTCTCCCACCTCACACAGCTCCTAAGGAAGCACATGGAGAACATCCCCCTGAGGTGGCACAGTGAAATTGAAGGACTTTAGGTAAAACAACGAGGAAAAAGGGAAGCAGGAGCTCATCCACGAGCTGCAATCCCAGGAATCCAGCACAGAGCTGTTCAAGGGCTGGTTGACCATGCAAGACTAAACAAACCTGCTGAGAGAGAGCCAATAAATACCTGAAAAATAACTGGAATTAAATTAAAAGTTGGGATTGTTCAGCCTGGAAAAGAGAAGAGTCTGGGGAGACCTCAAGCCCCTTCCAAGGCCTAAAGGGGCTCCAGGAGAGCAGGAGAGGGACTGGGGACAAGGGATGGAGGGACAGGACACAGGGAATGGCTCCCACTGCCAGAGGGCAGGGTTGGGTGGGATAGTGGGAATTAGGAATTCCTGGCTGGGATGGAATTCCCAGAGCAGCTGGGGCTGCCCCTGGATCCCTGGAAGTGTCCAAGGCCACGCTGGAGCAGCCTGGGACAGTGGAAGGTGTCCCTGCCCATGGGATGGTGGCACCGGATGGGATTTAAGGTCCCTGCCAACCCAAACCATTCCGGCCTTCTCCAAAATCTCCCCTCCAAACTCAATAACCCCCCACACAACATCTGCCCTGGCACAAGCACACCCTGAGCCGAAATCCCCCGCGTTCCCTGCGCTCCCCAGGCCCAGGCTGGTTGGGGAGGGAGGAACGAGCCCCTCGGGGGGGACTGGGGCCCGGGAGGGGCAGGGCAGCACCGGGGGCGAGCACCAGCCCCGGCTTAAACTGCGGCGCGGCTGCCAAGCCCAACAAAGCCGCGCACGAAGAATAGAATCATTGATCGTGTCTGCAGGCCGGGATTGCTGCCGTGCCGAGGGAGGGGCGGAGGTGAAATCCATCCCTTCCCAGGCAGTGACTCAGGTGCCGCGATCCACCCCGGGCGCGCATCTCGCACCGCGAGCGGCTCATAATGGGATTATTGTTCCTTTGCGTGCAAAGCCTCGCTCGGGGTTGGTGTCCCCGCCCTGCCCTGCAAACCGCAGCCGCCTGCGCCTCCCCAGCCCCGGCACGGCACGGGCCGGGACAGGGAGGGAGAGGGAGGGAGAGGGAGAGACAGTAAGAGGGGAGTGTAGAGGGGCAGGGGGGAAGAGGGAGGGAGAGGGAGAGAGGGAGGGAGAGGGACAGAGAGAGGGGGGGAGAGAGGGAGAGGGAGAGAGAGGGAGAGCCCGCTCGTTGTTGGCATCCCCAGAGCCGTTCCTGTGCCCTGAGTCACCGCCGGGCTGCCGGGGATCACCGGGAGCAGCTGGGAGGGACCCGGAGGACATCCAGCCCTACAGGGACCGGCACAGGGGACATCCAGTCCCACAGGGATCATCACAGGGAAGATCCAGCCCCACAGGACAGTCAGAGGGGACATCCAGCCCCACAGGGGACATCCAGCCCTACAGGGATCATCACAGAAATCATCCAATCCCACAGGGATCACCCGCTCCAACCCCTGCCCAGACACCCCACCAGTCCCAGCTGGGAGTGCTGTCCAAACCCTCCTGCAGCCCTGGCAGCCTTGGCAATGTGCCCATCCCCCGGGTACCCTGGGCAGTGCCCAGCACCCCCGGGGGGAAGAACCTTTCCCTGAAATCCATCCCAATGCCCTGCCACAGCTCCAGCACTGCCTGGGCCCTGTCCCTGTCCCAGTTCCTGCCCCTCAGGAGGAAATTCCCTTCCTCTGCCTGCACAGCCTGGGCAGGGACAGCCCCACTGCCCCAGGCTTGGGCACTGCCAGGGATCCAGGGGCAGCCACAGCTCCTCTGGGAACCTCCCCACAGTGCCAGGCAGGAACGCCTTCAATTCCCATGGAAACCTGCTCTCCCTCACCTCGGGAAGGGAAGGGAAGGGAAGGGAAGGGAAGGGAAGGGAAGGGAAGGGAAGGGAAGGGAAGGGAAGGGAAGGGAAGGGAAGGGAAGGGAAGGGAAGGGAAGGGAAGGGAAGGGAAGGGAAGGGAAGGGAAGGGAAGGGAAGGGAAGGGAAGGGAAGGGAAGGGAAGGGAAGGGAAGGGAAGGGCTGGCCATTGTACACCCCGTGAATCCCTGGATGAACACAGGCCCTGCCCCCAGCTACCAGCAGCCTCCATCCTCCACTTGGGATTGATTTCAGGCCAAGCCCAGCTCATCCCTCCTGCCTCCAGAGGAGTTTCCCTGGGGATTCCTCCACCATCTCCTCAGCAGCCACTGCTGGTGCCGGTCCCAGGCCATGGTTTGGCCTCTGAAACACAAAAAACCCAGAATAAAAGCAGGAAAATCCACCCAGCCCTGCATTCCTGGGCTTTTCCACAGCCACGGTGCTTGGCTCGTGCACAGGCAGCAGCAGAGCACCTCCAGTGCCAAGCACAGACACCCCCGGGGCTGGGAGGAACTGGGGGATTTCCCTTTATTTTCCCATTCTCTGGTCACCCCATTCATTAGCAGGGCTTGGAAAACCCCAAAACATCCACAAAAGCAGCAATAAAGAGGCTACAGATACAGGCTGGGGGATGGGGTGAGAAAAGAGAAGGAAAAAGGAAAAAAATAAATAGAAAAAAGGAAAAGGAAAAGGAAAAGGAAAAGGAAAAGGAAAAGGAAAAGGAAAAGGAAAAGGAAGAGGCTACAGATACAGGCTGGGGGATGGGGTGAGAAAAGAGAAGGAAAAAGGAAAAAATAAATAGAAAAAAGGAGAAGGAGAAGGAGAAGGAGAAGGAGAAGGAGAAGGAGAAGGAGAAGGAGAAGGAGAAGGAGAAGGAGAAGGAGAAGGAGAAGGAGAAGGAGAAGGAGAAGGAGAAGGAGAAGGAGAAGGAGAAGGAGAAGGAGAAGGAGAAGGAGAAGGAGAAGGAGAAGGAGAAGGAGAAGGAGAAGGAGAAGGAGAAGGAGAAGGAGAAGGAGAAGGAGAAGGAGAAGGAGAAGGAGAAGGAGAAGGAGAAGGAGAAGGAGAAGGAGAAGGAGAAGGAGAAGGAGAAGGAGAAGGAGAAGGAGAAGGAGAAGGAGAAGGAGAAGGAGAAGGAGAAGGAGAAGGAGAAGGAGAAGGAGAAGGAGAAGGAGAAGGAAAAGGAAAAGGAAAAGGAAAGGAAAGGAAAGGAAAGATTTATTTTGGGGGTTGAAATTTTTAACTGGAGAGGGGTCACAGTTTAAGTTTCCCTCCAACCACTGCTAACATTTATTATGATTTTAAGACCAAACTCATGAATCTAAAGGTTTTATTGAAAAATTAATAAGGAGGTTGGGGAGAAAATCCCCAGTTAAAATTTGGTATTTTTCTTGCAATCAGCTCACAGAACATTTCAAACCCCTCCAAAGGCTGAGTCTTCCCATGGAAAGGATGGAAAGAGAGGGACAGACCTTCCCTGTGCTCAGCAGAGCTGTGCTGCAGGGCTGCTCCCCTCCTCCAGAGGCAGGGACACGCCTGGGGCTGCAGGGCCATTCCCTGGCAGGCCAGGGAGCACAGCAATCCTCTGGCTGCACCCCGACCCCAGGATCCCAAACCCCATCCCAGCCGTGGCACAACGTCACTGGGATATTCTCTGAGAAATCCTTCCACCAGGATTTCTTCTCCTGGGAAGCTTCAGCTTCTCCATTTTGCTGCTTTGGCATGTGATTTGGAGACTGTTTACCCAGCATGTGGAATTGTTTTCATTTAATGACCACTCACGGTCCAGCCGTGTCCAGGCTCTGAGGAGTCACGAGTTTTTATTATTATTTATTATTTTATTCTTGTTAAACCTTCTGATGTATCCTTTCTCTGTAGTTTAGTATAGTTTTGATATAGCATTCTTTAGTATAATATCATATCATATCATATCATATCATATCATATCATATCAGCCTTCTGAGAACATGAGGTCAGATTCATCTCTTCCCTTGCCCTGGAGACCCTCACAAAGACCCCAGGACAATTTCCCCCTTTTCCCTCCAGCCAAGGAGCAGAGCCCATCTCCGTGTCCCAGGCCTTGGCTGGCTGTTTCTATCCCTTCTGCTCCCAAATTTCACTTTTCCCTGGACATTTCTTGTCCACAGGGGGGATTTCTGGCCCCGTGGCAGCTGCCCCTCACACCAAGGAATGGGGAGATCATTTCATTCCCCTCCAGGGGACAAACAGAAAAGAGGGATTTTCCTCTGGGGTTTCTGCCTCCCTCCCTCCCTGCTCCTTCCCTAGGCTCCATCCTCATCTGGCCTGGCTGCATCCAGGCAGGATTAAATGCTTTTGTGGCATTATCTCCCAGAAATCTGATTACAAGGCTGCCTCCAGCTCTCTAATGGTTTTTGTTTTGTTTTGTTTTGTTTTGTACCAGCTAGCACCACATGCCAGGAATTATACCAGGAAACATCCCTGACAGGCTGGAGAGCCCCAAGCCCTGGACATCCCAGAGGATTTGCAGGTTTTTAAGCTGGAAACAGAGGGCTCAGACTTTCCAGAGCCTCCAGTGTGGGTGGAATTAGGGAGAGCAGTGAGAGATGCTCCAGCCCTGGGAATGGGACCGTGGAAGGGCTCTGATTCCCAGCTGTGGCACATCCCTTCCCTCTCCTGCCCTGGGATGCAGGGACAGCTGTCACCTTTTCAAAAGCACCTTATTCTGCTAAAGGCTGAATTCCCAAATTTTCTAAAATTCCAAATTTTCCAAATTTCCTCTATGCCTGGAGGGACCCGGCCCAGCCCCAGGGTGCACACCCAGGGTGAAACTGCCTCTCCTTGGCTTTTCCCCTCTTTTCCCATCCCCAAGGAAGCCTTCCCAGCCAAGGGCAGGACCTTGGAAAGCCAGGAACGACGAGGCTGGAGGAAGGAAACCCAGCAGAGTGGAGGGAGGAGGAGCAAATCCAGATTTATGGCACCAAAACAACTCCGTGCAAACTCCAATTCCCATTTATTGAAAGCAATCACAGTTAAAAGGTCAAACCCATCGGCAAACAGGAGCTTGGGATCATCCAGAGGGACACTCAAAGGAAATCCATCCAAAAAAACAAGGACAAAACAAAATGGAGAGCTCAGTTTATTCCAACCTGTTCCCTTTGGCTCCGGTGGGACCGAAGGCAGGTCTGGGACATCCCGGCCCCACTTCCAGAGGGACAGAGCAGGAGGCAGCCAGGTGACCCCACAGCAGGGTTTGGGGAAGCCCTTTGTGCTGGAGATCAGAGCGAGGGCGAGCTGGGATTTGCAGCATCCTCCCAAGCCTGGCAATTCCCTCCTCCCTGGGCACAGGGATGGATTCACTCCTCAGCCTGCATCGACCCTCAGGGCTCAGGAAGAGCCATTCCACAAGAAATGCTTGGGAAGCATCAGGAGAAGAGGCAGGAATGTCCATGCGTGGTCGTGGCTCTCCAGGTGGGATAATTGATTCATCCTGAGGGATTAATTAACTCGTTCATTCATCCCGGAATGCTCCGGTGGTGGCTCAGCTCCTGCCCTTCCTGCAGGTGAAGGGTGAGCAGGAGAACCCTGGCTTGGCCCTTCAGGGAGTTCTGATCACTGCCAGCAGCAGCTGAAATCCAGAATCCCTTGGGAAGGCCCGGCAGCTCCACATGGAATTGCATGGAAAACACTCAAACCTCCTTTCCTGGTGTTTTTCCCACAGAAAACCCCGGAGCATTGGACACAGCACACTGGAGCAGTGCCCCTCGGAGATACATTTAGGAAAAAAATGACATTTCCCTCTTGCAGAGATCCCAAGAAAATTCATCTTTATTTGCCTGGACTATCCCATGCATCCAAAGCAATTCCTGCAGCATTCCCAAGGAGCAGCAGGATGTGGAAGACCTGTGATCCCATGGCTTATCACAGTCCTCATACCTTCAACCTCCCAAAAAAGGGTGCAATTCCACACTCCATAAGGAGCTTATTCCATTTCTAGCCTCCACACGGGACAGGGAATTCCCAACCTCTGACAGAGCAGAGAGGATCAAAATCCCAAATGTTTTTCCTTGGAGAAACCAGCCCAGCGTCATCCAAGGCCCCTTCCAAGAGGAAAACCAAACCAGGATCTGGGAGGACCCACCCATATTTGTGCTTGGAAACCATCGCCAGGAACTGGGAGGGGAGAGGGAGATACAAAATCAGAGGAAATCAACACCAAACCAGATCCCAAAAATCTATGTACAGATCCAGTCCGGGGCCGCGGCACGGCCGGCTCCCGATCCCGCGGCGCGGGGCTCTGCTGTCTCCTCCTGGGCACGCAGCTCTGCCCTACCCCAGCCCCACATCCAGGGACATCATCACCACAAATCCCAGGATGGAGGTCCAGGATGCCAGCTTCCCGTTGCCACTGCAGGGAGAGGGGAATGTTGGAGGAGGGAATGCTGCTCGTGTCCCATCCCAGCCCCGATGCTCCCGAGCCCCCCTGCCCATGGGGGCCATTCCCTGGCATGGGGAGGGAGCACAGCAATCCCTTGGCTGCATCCTGACCCCCCCAGGATCCCAAACCCCATCTCCAGCCATGGGATAACTTTCCCCTTTTCTCTCAGTTTGCTCCCTGGAGGATTCCAGCCCCTCCATCCAGCCAAGGAGCAGAGCCCATCTCCACTTCACAGGCATTGCTGGGTGTTTATATCCCCTCTGCTCCCAAACTCCCCCTTCCCATGGACACTCCTTGTTCCCAGGGGTAACTGGGACCCCCCACGGGTCAGGAGGGGTCTCACCTGGTCTGTGCCTCGGGAATGATGTCGTCCATCACCACGTAGACCATGGCTCCAGCAGCGAATCCCAGCGCGTAGGGCAGGAGCGGCTCCGCCAGCAGCACGGCAAAGGCGCCCAGAACCCCGGCCAGGGGCTCCACCATCCCGCTCAGCTGCCCGTACCTGCCACAAAAACAGCCAGAACATCCCTGCAGGCCTGCAGCAGGGCTGGCACAGCCATCCCAAAGGGATCACAGGGCTCACACTGCCCCATGCCCGCTGTGCCCCCATTCCTGGTGCCCGGAGGAGTTGCACACCAGCCACGCCCAGCCATGGCACCTGGACTGTGGTGACAGGAAAGGGTTTGACCTTACCCAGCTGAGTTTTCCAGACAGGATCTCATTCCTGCCCCCAGCAGCTCTGTGGGATTTGGGGATCCAGCTCCCAGGCAGAGGGAACACTTGCAATCAGCACAACTCAGTCCCAAAGAGGACGCCTGGCCCCAGCCTCAAGCAGGACAAAGCCACCTTCTTCCCACTCCTGTTCTTTCCCTCCAGGATTGTCCCCACCTCTCTGGACCATGGGAAATCCCTTCCCAGCAGCAGCAATCCTGCTGCAAGTCCCAGCACTTAAGGAGGTGGGTGGGAGGAAAGGAAAACAAAACTTTGGAGCAGTTTGGGAGCCTCCCCTGCCCTCCACCCACCACCCAGAGCAGGGCAGGAACACAGCTCCTGCTCCCAGGGTTTGTGCCCTTGGCTTCTGCACCTCAGGGAAAAGGGGGAAAAATAGAAGGGGGGTTGAAATCCAGCTTGAAGAGAAAGAAAAATGAAGTGATAAAAAATTAATAATGGCAGTGCAGGATCTGGAGCTCAGCACAGGCATTGAAATGGGATGTGACAGGATCAGGATCAGGGATTCAGCCCTGGGATGTGACATGTGGGGATCAGGGATTCCTCCCCTGGGATGTGGTGATTGCTGGGAGCAGGGATGCATCCCTTGGGATCCAGGGGCTGGGATCTGAGCTTGGAGGGTGTGGAAGGAGCAGGACAGAGCTGGAAAGCTGCAGCACCACAGGGAACACAGCAGACCCAGAACAATCCCATGCCAAGGGCAGCTCCCTGATGGATGTGGGGGGATCAGAGGCAGGAGGGGCTGGTGAGGGCTCCTTTCCCTGGAGCCCAGGCAGAGCTCACCAGAAGGCTTTCCACGTGGAAAATCCAGCGCCACGCAGGGGCAGGCTGACAGCCAGGCCCTCTGGGAAGTTCTGGATCCCAATCCCAATGGCTAAGTTCCTAAAAAAAGCACAAATATATCCATTTGTTTATGATAAGGGCAAAACTCAGCCTGGGATAGGCTGCTGGGAGCAGGGAAAAAGGGACATGATTAAGGATTCAAGGGAGCTTCTCCCACCCCCGGTGCCCAAATTTAACAGGATCCCAGCAAATTCCATCCTCCAGCAGCTCCAGAGCTTCCATCAGCTCCAGCACCAGCCCATGGAGCAGATGGAGGAGAAGAGACTGGTCCTGGGAGGCCCCTGGAGGGATTCCAGCCTGAGGATTCCCAGCATTCCCAGTCTGGGCACCTGGAGCAGCCCAGGTTCGAGGGAGGGCTGAGGTTCCTCCTCCTGGGGGGCTTTGCCAGAGGGGCCCCAACACCACAGGGCTTTGCTTTCTCTCTTTTCCCCCTCTTGTATCCCATGGAAAGGGAGCACTTGGACTTCCAGGGTCAAACTCAGGGCAGGGGAGAGCGGGGCTCTCCCTCAGTCATGGAATCCCAGAATCCTGGAATGGTTTGGGTGGGAAGGGATTTTAAAATTCATCCCATTCCACCTCCAGCTATCCCAGGTTGCTCCGAGCCCTGTCCAGCCTGGCCTTGGACACTTCCAGGGAGCCAGGGGCAGCCCCAGCTGCTCTGGGAATTCTATTCCAGGGCCTCCCCACCCTCTCAGGGAAGGATTTTGGCCTCCCAGGGAAGAATTCCTTCCCTGAGCAGCTCCCGTTGTGTCCCTGCTGGAGCTGTGCATGGCTGGCACATCCACCTCCCACCCTTCCAGCTCTGCAGGGCTTTGGGATTTTGGGGAATGTTTCAGGCACCAAACAGGGCTCCTGTTTGTGCCTGGGCTCCCCACACATCCCTGTTCCACACTGGGAGCATTTCTCCAGCTTTGCTGGGCTGTGTTGGTGGCACTGGGGGACACCAAGAGTGGGACCACCCTGGGGGGCTCCAGCAGTGAGGGCTGGGCTCTCAGGGGTCTCCAGGGGGATCCCAGAGCCTCTCCCAAGCTCAGTTCCTGCTCTGCCACAGCTGCCAGCTCCCTTTTTTCACCCCCTCGTTTCCTACGAGTAAAATAAGCCCGGTGAGAAAAACCTCTCCGGGTTGTTTAAACTTCTCCCAGGGTTTACAGAGGAGGGGAGGGGAAGGGGGAGAGGCTCCGGGTTTCCCTGAGCAGGACAGGCCATTACAATCACAAACATTATTCCAGGCAAAGAGAGGGAGGACGGAGGGGGAAAACCATCCCTGCTGGAAAACACTGGAGCCGCTGTCTGGCCTCGGGGTTTTTTTTTTCCTCCTTCCCTCGCTCAGCACAAAGCAGCTATTGCTGCTCCTGGCCACAACAAATTAACAGGGAGGGAGCTGTGAATGGAGGGGTCTGTGTGGGAAGGGCGGGGAGCCCCCCACCCCGATCCCACCGGGAATAGGGACCCCCAGGCTGAGCCTCGAGGGACAGGAGAAGGGATGGAACTGGGGGGAGAGCCAGGAGAAACCCTGCAGGGCTCTGACCCTGCTCTCCTCCTGCCCTCCTTCCCACACACCCCCAGGACAATCCATGTGGGCTTCCCAAAACCAGGAACAACCCAGGACAATCCATCTGGGCTTCCCAAAACCAGGAACAACCCAGGACAATCCATCTGGGCTTCCCAAAACCAGGAACAACCCAGGACAATCCATCTGGGCTTCCCAAAACCAGGAATAACCCAGGACAATCCGTGTGGGCTTCCCAAAACCAGGAACAACCCAGGACAATCCATCTGGGCTCCCCAAAACCAGGAACAACCCAGGACAATCCATCTGGGCTTCCCAAAACCAGGATAATCCCAAAACCAGGAACGATCCCAGGACAATCCACCCAGGCTCCCCAAAACCAAGAACTTGCCAAAACCAGTCTTCCCAAAACCAGGAACAACCACGGGACAATCCACGTGGGCTCCCCCAAACCAGGAATAACACCAGGACAATCCATCTGGGCTTCCCAAACCCAAGAGCTCCGTGCCAGCCTGGGAACACCTAAACCTTCCTGTCTGCCTTGCTCTGGTCACCACCCCAGGGGCACCTCGGGGGCCACCCCTGTTCTGGCCAGGAGATAAAAAGGGGATTCACCTCCAGTGCTCCAAATAAACCCATCCCAAGGGATATCCCATCCCAAGGGATACCCCCCACCCAAGGCATACTCCATCCCAAGGGATATCCCATCCCAGGAATACTCCTGTCCTAAGGGATACTCCATCCCAGGGGATATCCTGACCCAAGGGATAATCCATCCCTGAGGGATATTTCCATCCCAAGAGATACTCCCATCCCAAGGGATACCCCTTTCCCATGGGATACTCCATCCCAAGGGATATCCTGTCCCACGGGATGTCCTGTCCCAAAGGATACTGCTGTCCCCAGGGATACTCCATCCCTCTGGCCGGCACAGCTCACGCCTCCCCGCAGCCCCGGGGCAGCAGGAGCGATCAAAGCCGCATTGTGTCCCAGGGGAAGGAACAAAGGCGCCTTTTGACAGAAATAGGTGGGGATTCTTGGAAGGCTTCCCCGGCTGCAAGGGAATACACTGTAAAACACAGGCACAGAGACACGGGGAGCCCGCCTCGGGTGCCACAGGGACACGGCTGTCACCTCGTATTTTCTGGAAAAATCCCTTTGCCAGGATTTCCCTCCTGGGAAGCTGAGAAGCCTCAGAGAAAAAGGAAAACAAGAATTATCTGATTTGCTTCTCCTGTGTTTTGCTGCTTTGGAATGTGGTTGGAGATTGTTTCATTGGTTTCATGTGAATTGTGAATTTGACTCAGTGACCAACCACAGCCAAGCTGTGTGGGACTCTGGAGAGAGAGATTTGTTTTTCATTATTATCTTTTTAGCATTCTGTCTGTATCCTTTCTGTATTCTTTAGTATAGCTTAGTATTCTTTAATATAATATAGATCATAAAATAATAAATCAGCCTTCTAAGAACATGGAGTCAGATTCATCATTCCTGCCTTCGTCTGGGAACCCAACAAATACAAGACACAAGCACGAGCCAACAAGAAAATCTGAAGGGTTTGGGGTCTCCAAAGAGAGGAGGAGGAAGGTGGGGTAAGGGGTAGGGAGGTGGTGGAGCCAGATCCCATCTGGTCGGGTTTTTGCCACCCCTGCAGGTGCCCAAGGGTGTGGCACTCAGTGCTCTGGGCTGGTGACAAGGTGGGGGTCAGGCACGGGTTGGATTTGGTGATCCTGGAGATCTCCTCCGACCTCGGTGATCCTGGCATTCTGGGGATGGGGCAGCTGTGTCCAGCTGGGCAACCTGCAGCTCATCCCCACCCTACAAACCTCAGCTGCTCCCACAGAGGCACATCCAGGGAAAATCACACATGCTCTGCCTGGGGATGCGCCAGTGTCCCGCTGGTGGCTCTGCCACCAGCACAGAAATGTCCCTTGGGTGGCTCCTCCAAGCCTCGGTGTCCTTGGAAGCATCAAGCACCCAACACACACTGGATGTGCTGCCTTTCCCAGCTCTGCCTCAACTTCCCCATCTGCAAAATCTGTTTGGTGACAGCCACGTCCCCCAGAAGTGCCCCAGCACCTGTGTCACCCACAGGTGAGCTCTGCCCTGCCCTGGCTCACCCTGCCATGCGGCAGAGCCCAGTTTTGGGGAAGAAAAGATAAATCCACGCCCTCCTGGTGGGGCTCCCCCATGGAACATCCCGTGTCCCCCGGGAACATCCCGGGCTGGATCTCCTACCCCCTCTCCTGCCAACTGCTCCGGCACCACGCTGCGGCACTCCAAGTTCACTTGCAAAAAAAAAAAAAAGTTGGCATCTCTGCATATTTGCAAGGTCAAGGCACAGAAAGCCTTCTATAAGCCTAAAGCCTTGTTTTCAAGGGCCTATTCTTTGACGGGGTGATTATGAAAGCAGGCTACATATTCTTAACAAGCCCCTTTTCACTCGGGCTTTCAGTTCCCCGCAGTGGAGAATGTGCATGTGTATTCTTGCATGGCAGCCCTTCCATACTGTTGGGATTGTTATCGGGTGTGAAAGGCCCGATTGTTTGGGGTTGCCGCGATTACATCACGGCTGCCCCCGGGCCGCCCGCCGAGGTGTTTGATCAGGGCTGCAGGTGGGAAGGAGCTCACGGGGCCCTTTCCCCAGACCTGCCCTACCTGTTCAGCGCTGCTCCACGGAGCTGCTCCTTCCCCCTGTCCAACCCTGCTCCTTCCCGCTGCTCCCCTGTTCAACCTTGTCCTTCCCTCTGCTCCTCTTTTCCACAGAGCTGCTCCTTCCCTCTGCTTCGCTGTCCAACCCTGTTCCACAGAGCTGCTCCTTCCCCTGTCCAACCCTGCTCCTTCCTCTGCTCCCCTGCTCCACAGAGCTGCTCCTTCCCCCTGTTCCACCCTCTTCCTTCCCTCTGTTCCCCTGTTCAACCCTGTTCCTTCCCTCTGCTACTCTTTTCCACAGAGCTGCTCCTTCCCTCTGTCCAACCCTGCTCCTTCCTCTCCTCCCCTGCTCCACAGAGCTGCTCCTTCCCCCTGTTCCACCCTCTTCCTTCCCTCTGTTCCCCTGTTCAACCCTGTTCCTTCCCTCTGCTACTCTTTTCCACAGAGCTGCTCCTTCCCTCTCCTCCCCTGTCCAACACAGCTGCTCCTTCCCCTTGTTCCACCCTGTTCCTTCCCTCTCCTCCCGTTCCACACAGCTGCTCCTTTCCCCTGTCCAACCAACCCTGTCCAACTCTCCTCTCCTCTCCTCTCCTCTCCTCTCCTCTCCTCTCGCAGTAGGGGAAGAACCATCCCCAATGTCACCCAGATGCCCCCCAGGCCACCCCCGATGCCTTAAATTTTAGCTGTTGTATTTCTCAGACTCCGCGCTACATTGGTTTATAACTCTGAGCTCCAAATAAAGTGTCAGCAGCTCTCCTCACAGCTCAGGCACACAGAACAATCCTTTTGCAGCCCCAGAACCAAGGACACCGCTGCAGCTTCAGCCCACAAAGTGCAAACAACAAAAAGGCCCAAAATGCCCAAAAAGTTCAAACAA